TTCTGGCAGCATACGGATACCGCATCGGAAAAACGCTTCATCTTTTGAAGCTATCCACGATTCGACTCAATTTTTGGTATCTTCACATGATGTGAAGTGTTGCTCAGACAGGCCATGCGCCATCGATCGAAACAGGTAGTAATCAGAAGGAGCAATGTCTGATGAATACGGCGGGTGGGGTAAAACTTCCCAATTGAGTGTTTCCAAGTAGGTTTTGACCGGCGCCGCAACATGTGGACGAGCATTATCATGCAGAAGAATAACTTTGTCGTGTCTGGAGTAGTAGTGGGCGCGTTTTTCCTTGAGTGCTCGGCTCAATCTCATCAATTGTGTTCGGTAGAGAGCCTCAGTAATGGTTTCGTTCGGTTTGAGCAACTCATAATAAACGACACCTAGTTGATTCCACCAAATACACAACATGAGCTTTTTCCCATGAATGTTCGGCTTGGCTGTCGATGTTGAAGCATGGCCAGGTGGTCCTCATGATTTCTTCTTCTTTGGGTTATCGTAGTGGATCCATTTTTCATCACCAGTGACTACACGGTGCAAAAAATTCTTTCGTTTATGCCTGGCAAGCAGCATTTCACATGTGAAAAACGGCATTCAACGTTTCTCGGCTTCAGTTCATATGGAATGCAATTTCCTTGCTTTTGAATCATTCCCAACGATTTTAAGCGATGTGAAATTGCTGGTTGAGTCACTCCTAATGTAAGTGCAAGTGCTTCTTGCGTTTGGCACGAATCTTCATCCAATAATGCTTCCAATTCCGCGTCTTTGTACACTTTCGGCCTTCCGCTATGTTCTTTGTCTTCGACGTCAAATTCACCGTTCTTAAACTTTTGAAACCACTCACGGCAACTTCTCTCACTTAAGGCACCCTCACCATATGCTTCTACAAACAATCGATGCGCCTCAGCTGCAGATTTCTTCAAATTAAAGAAGTAAATCAAAAGCTCCCACAAATGATGCTTATTCGGCTCAAAACTCGACATTTTCGCACGAAAAAAGATATAAGATGCTGATGCACAGATGCTGATATGACGTTTTACAGCTGACAATTTTAACTATAACATACTGGTAGCGCCATTGTTTGTCAAACGGCGGAAACTTATTTATACTCCCAATAAAAAGGAAATTATAATATCTCCTTTTTTTTAGATCATAAACCTTCCCCTTCTATTTGCACTGTTAGAAACAAATGGTTTCTAAATCTTTCATCTGTTATCATTATCACTGTTCGATATTCACTGTTTGTGGTACAATAATTAGACAACAATTTTGCAATGTCACTTAACAACAAAAAAATTTTAATTTTTGAATTTATTAAAAACATAGAACATAATCTTTGCAAATATCAAATACAAGCATTACATAAGAAATCATCCCAATAACAACAACATTTTCTCTATAAATAATAAAAGAAATTTCAGGTTAAGGTTTTTGATAAAATAAAATAATCGGTCCGTAAAATAAAATAATTGATCCGCACTACTGAACGTACATAATAATCGACACGTAATGTCTGTCTTACACATCTGCGTTCTTTCTTTCTGTATATATTTTAAAAAGTTTTTTATTCCTTTATGGACACGCTCGTTTGAATATTTTACACATGATTTCTGGTGAGTTTTTATTTTTTATTAAATTTCCGGTATGTTAATTTAATATATATAAACGCATTTCTAATCATATTGTTTATAAACGCTCGCCTATACATGCGTAACTCTCTATATTGTACATATCGGTTATTGCGAAGAATGTTGCTAAGGTCTCGGTAGTCTAAAGGCTTAGGACGCTCGCACGGAATGCAAGAGATCCGGCTTTGACTCCCGACCGAGGCAATATTTTTCGCAATAAGTTTATTACAGTTTTTTAAGATTTGGGAAATTTTGGGGGGATTATCAGATTGATTGTGTGAATCCGATAATTTCATCGGCTCGCAATTTTAATTCTGAAAAATTAATTCAATTTAAATGAATGTATATTATATAGTAGTTCAACATCTTAACACTCGGGATAAGGCGCTTTTAAGTTTTAATATATATATAAACGGTCACATTTCCAATCATATTGTTAATTTATTTACGTAGATATTTTTTTGGTAAGAAGTTTTTATTTTATCTTTTTTATCTAGAGCTTTGCCAAGATGTTTTTAATACATTTGACTGTTCAATCGTACGGAAATAATGTCGAACTCTACATCAAGACTCACCTGAACTGTGAATCTATTGAATATGCGATCATTTGCGATAATTGATTTTGTACTACGGTTTTTTCGTTATGTTAATGTCTGAAGAGGATTTAATCCGGTAGCCGAAACTTGTAACTTGTGATTATTTTCTTAATTTTAATTTTATTTTTGCTTTATGTAATTTTATCTCTGTTAATTGTAATATATTCTTCGGTTAATTTCAAAGAAATGTGTCGACTCTTACTTTGTCCTTTACTTTTTATTATTTGTTTTGTATAGGAAGAGTCCTTAGATTTGTTATTTAAAATAATCGGCTTTCCAATTTCTAAAAGACAATAAAAATATCATTCTCACAAAAGCCAATAAAGGAAATATTACGGTTGCCCCGAATAAAAATAAATACATGACTAAGATGAAGGAAATATTCCAAGATTCAATATATTCTGTAGTTAGAAAATTCCCAATTAGAATAATTACAAATGGCTTGAAGAATATTCTTGCGAGATGGAAGGATTTGAAATTGATCACTGATTTTACATATCATTCACTTAATACTAGCGACGGCTTACTGCTTAGAGTGTATGGGGTCCTAAAAGTATATAAAATTTGACACCCATTAAGAGTTATTGTTTCATCTACGGACAGTACATTATTTAGTTTCTCTACGTTTCTACATAAAATAATTGAAAAAAGTATCCCTACTTCTTCAAGCAACATTAAAAATAGTTTTGACATTGTGAACAAATTTAATAATAAAAAGCTAAACGAAGACATTTTAATATCTTTAGATGTTGTTTCTCTGTTACGAACATTCCCATAGATTTAGCTTTGAGAAGTGTTGAAAGTAGATGGAACTTTATCTATAAAAAATGTAACACACCAAAGAACGAATTTCTCAAAGCAATAGATTTTGTTTTTAATTCGACATATTGCTCGTTTGATAACCAGATTTACAAACAGAAATTCACATCTATGGGTTCTCCAATATTAGCCGATATTGTAACGCAGAACTTAGAGGAACAAGTGTTGAACATTCTTAATTTTGATATCCTTTTCTATTATAGATATGTTGATGACATATTATGGCTATCCCTTCATCTGAAACCAACCTTGTACTACAAAAATTTAATTTTTACCATCCTAGAATACAATTTACATGTGAGATTGGCAATAAAATTATCAGTTTTTTAGATACCACTATTCTTATTAAAAACAATATCATCAAGTTTGACATATATCATCTTTCTTTGGGAGATATAGTATCTTAATTACCAGTTTCAACACTCGATAAAAGGAATTGTTATAGAGACGGTTGATAGAGTTTTTTTAATTTCACATCCGGATTTCCATCAATAGAACCTGGAACAGGTGGTAAAAATTTTATTAGATAACGATTATCCACTAAATTTCATTTTTGATATAACACGAGAAAGAATTAAAGTTTTAATAAATAAAAAAATTTTCAATCAAACCATCAAAAAGAATAATAATTTCACAAATAAGACATTTTTAAAGAAAAATCGAACTGGTTCATAATTCTATATGTACAATCTATTTCCGAAAAATTTAAAAATATCATCAAAGATATTATACTACATCAAACTCTCGTTTTTTAGCCTTAACAAACTCAATTTAATGATAAAAGCGCAAAAAAATCCTCTTCCTGCAGATTACAAAAAGAACATTGTGTATAAAATTTCTTGTAATGATTGTGACACGTCTTATGTTGGACAAACATGTAGACAATTAAAAACGAGGATTTCCGAATATAAAAATGACATTAATAGAAATGAAACCTATTTTTCGGTTGTCATAGGACACGTCACAACTAAAATTTTGATTGGAATAACATTCAAATATTAGACATAGAACATAACTACAATAAAAGACTAACATCAGAAATGATAAACATCAAACGACAAAAGAGTGGAATTAATTTAAACAAAGACACTGAGTTACTTAGTTTTTCATATTTTTGTTATTTGACCGACCATTAAAAGCCTACAGCTAAAAATGATACATTTTCATTACGACGATTGATACTGCAACATGAACATTATCGACTTATATAATATATATTATATTTATTTAATTATCGTCGTTTTGTCTTAAATTTTAATTCACGAGAAAAATAATTTGCGTTACAATAACTATGGTATTAGGACTAATTTGTTATTTGACATACTTCTGAGGTAAATCTCCACAGCAATTCCTGTAAGTTTTTTAATATTTTTCGACTCTAATATTTATTTGTTATATTTAAGATCAAATATCGTTGACCATCCAGCTTATTAACTGGTTACTTGATGTCGAAGTGTAACAACAGAATGAAGATTTTTATGGATTTTATGTAATACATTCACTGATAGAAGTTAGCCGAAATGTTTGACAAATATATTTATAGAGAATTGTTTTAGATCAATCAAAATAAACGCGCAATTATTACAAAGCCGATTCCTAAAGGCCCATTTGTAATTTGTTAATTGTTTTAATGTAAGGAATCTTATTTTATTGTAATATAATTATAACTTATATTTACACTTATAATTTTTTATATTTATAATTATTTCAAGACATTTAAAATAATCTTTGTAATATCAACATAATATTAAAAATAATCTTGAAAATTTATCGATTTTTCTTTCTTTCGTCCTTTGAAGAGTTATAGAGATTTTTCTTACCAATATTACTGTAAAAATATATTAAGTATAAAAAAGAATCATATTTCTTTATGTATGTCTGTTTAATAAATGTTTGCTGAGGAACTGAACAAATGTTGATATTATGAGTATTCGACAAATGATTATAGGAGAGACAGCCTAATCCAAATAATCCCATGGAGTACTGTTCAACTGTACCACCTTTGCAACAATTAGCTGGTGGTTTGCCACCACCACCAGCGGTGATGGTACCTGTGGGTGTTCTAAAAAGAGAGGGTTCAAAACATCGTGCAGAAGGACAAAAATCTGTAATATTTAGTGATGGTAGGTAATCATTATTTACAATATATTAATATTATTAATGTTCTTAATTCTTATTTTTCCTTCTTTTTCTCTTTTTTTCTTATTAACGTTAATTATTTTTGAAGTAATTATCTCTATTTTATAATAAACCCAGATAAAGCCAAACCTGTCGAAAATAGAATTTAAAGTATTTGTTATATACTCTATGTCAGCAGAATAGCAACAGAATTGATCTATTGATTAGACATATATATACAACGCTGTGGAATAACGGAAGGAAATGTAACAGAATCTGCTAACAAAACTGAATGACAGACTGACAAAAGAAACAAATCTGGAGTATATTCTGACAACAAATTATTGACAGAAATTAAATATATCTGTCGCAATGCTGTTAGATTATTAATAGAATCTATGTTGTCACTAAATACTTGCAGGACTGCCGCCAGGTGATATCCGTTTATTTCTTGTATTTAAGGTTTGTTGGGTTCTCTATATAGGATATTTTGCATAAATTGCAAAATGGTAGATAATTTTTTGACTGAGTTTAATCCGATTTACCTCATGCTCATGAGAGGTGTTCCAATAGATCTGGGACACCTTGTATATTTTTAATATATCTTTTAATAAAACAATTTAAAATTATTTTCTTAGGCCAATCTGTTTAGTTTCTGATGACAGCCTGCTATTAGATCTTGTGGATTGTGGACAAGTATGTCACCAGTTTTGTTTTAATTTGCTGACAATTTACTAACAGACTATCAATATTTTGTTACCTGAGAAATATACACACGTACGAAAGTATTTGAATGTTTACATTTTTAACATTTAACGAATGAAATATGTACATCAAATTGGAACATTTAAAATAATGTGTCAAGAGACGCGGTATTGTCTCATGCCAAATGTAACTAGCACGAGATCGTGTCTTTATGCGAACCGGCGAATTGTATTGCACCTGAGATTATCGAATCTTTCAGTAAACGGCTGAATCGATCCTCTTTTGAGTGATCTCAATCGACAATTTGGGATTATATTATATAATAAAAGTGCTTTTATTTTCTACGTACCCTATGAACAGAGATATCGCAATGGAAAAATTCGAAATATGAAAATGTCACATTAAGATTATCATCATCATTGCCTTCAGAAATGTCCGTTTCACATTTTAAACTGCAGATGGCACTCGTTTGTTGCGACATTACTTATTTACGGTTCCGCTAGCGCTGTATCGATATACCGATACAGCTAGATTGTTATCATTTGTTGGCATTGCTCCTTGAAAATATATTGTTATCATAATGGCTACAGCACAAACTTTTGCATAATGACCACCACACAAAAACAAACGCTTTACGTTATGTTAAATACTGATCTTAAATTTAAGGTTGTCCATAACGGTAAACTTATATGAACACACAAAGAAAATTGTAACGTAACATTCTTCATCATTCTTCTACATCATTGTACGAATGTATGTATAAGGTGTAACAGCCACATACAGGTTAGTATGACGGGTTGTTTATTCATATAGGTGCGCGCGTTTGTACACAACTGCGTAGACTTAATCCCTGCGTCGATATAATTATTCACATATCTTTTTCGCGTATGAAGTTTTGATACATTTGTAACGAACTTCCGTAACAATTTGTTAAAACAGAAATTAAAGTGATGATACAAATTATCTATCTATCCCCGGTTCTATAGTGTGCAACGCCTTCCAGTTCTCTTCCTAAACAGGGCTACTTCTCGTATAAATGTCTGTACATATGTCTCGTACATATGATAGAAATTATAAAATAAATTTTATTAATAAAATCTTAGGTGTTATACAATAGTTTTGTTATTACGAGAAAAGTTCTCTATCATAATTAATTATAAACTAAATTATAATATAAATTATGTTATAATTTTATTACTTAAATTATTTTTTGCATAAAATGTTTATGCACAGTACGAAAGTCATCAGTTATCACATATATGCAAATTTAAATCGTCGCTAACCTAACAAATTTGATCCACTGTAAAAATGATGATTAGATATAGAAATGATCATTAATGAATAGTAACCCAGATCAACAATTAAACGACCTATAATTAAATGTGACAATGTAAAATTTATTTTTTCACAATATAATTTTCCAACGATACGGTTCGACTATACCTCCGACTTAGAGTCGGATACTGTTCACATGATAAAAGATCTTGATTGCAAGAGAGTTTAAACGCGTCATCAATCGCATTTTTTACTTTGCAATCGCAATAGACAACTGCTAACTCATCAAGATATATTATGTGTATTTGCCTCATGAATATTTTATCTATCAATAGTATTAAGGATATACGTACAACTATTTTATATAATTTGACATCAATCTACATTTGTAATTTTACAGGAAACTTTCTTTCACGTACACTGACTGCCCTTTCTCGCTGTTAACTCGCGGACGAATTGGTTGGATTATGACTCATCATTACTATGTTTTACAATATTATTCAATAAATTGATTTAATATAATATAATTGCGTTTATACTGACTATTGAAAATCGAAGTTGAGATGATCTAAATATGGTAATTTAATTTTTGTTATATGGAGTAATTATATTTCTGCGACTGATGAGAACTAAGTATAGTCGAAACGTATCGTGAAAAATTATATTGTGAAAAAATAAATTTTATATTGTCACATATAATTATAGCTCGTTTAATTGTTGATCTGAGATACTATTTATTAATTTGTTTGAAAGTTATACGAGCGTTAAAGAATTGTTTTTAATTTATGTTTTAAGATTATTATTGAATTTTACAATATTTATTTTGGTATATTAATAATTTGTTAATTAATAATTAATTTAACATATATCGATACTAACAAGCTAATATTAATAAAGTTATTGACTGTGTCTAATATTATTAGTGTCGAATATTTATCCGATATTAATAAAGTTGTCGTATATTTCATTATATTTAATATTCATATTATTGATTTCACTGAATTGTTTAAAGATTTCACATATTAAAAAAAAAAATTATTATTACTTTGATAGTTCGAAAAATAGATTTGGAATAAGTTTCGAGTAAAAAGTCATTCTTTCTTCAAGAGCACATATACCAGCGCGTATACTTAACACCTTTTTTTACTTTTTTGTAAAAAAGGTAATTTTGTGATCATATTATGTATTTTGTATTGTTAATCGTATAGCAGCACTAAGTTTTTTTACAGTAAAAATTTATTTGAAATAATTTTTTTCAGTTTATACTTTTAATTCTTTTTAATTCTTTGTAATTAAATTTTACTGAATTGAAATAAAATACTAGAGATCACTTGGGTTGGAATAGAGAAACCTCTTTAAATAAAAATAAAAAGATATATATAACACTTATAATTTTTTTTTATATTTAAGAAATAAAGGTTTATAATAGATTTGAAATATAGTTTTTTATACTTCGATTTTATTTTTTAAGAAAAATAATACAATAATGTTTGTAGGAAATGTATATTATGCTTGTATTATTAATTGATGCAATGTAGAGGTTTCATATATTTTTTTGAAAAAAATACGTATTTGAATTGAATAAAATAATGCAATTTTCTGGTATTATTATTTCTTAAATAAAAATATAACAGAAACTTATATGAACTTATTAACATTCAAATTTTTATTTGTATATGTATCTAATAATTCTTTAATAACAAATAATCTAAACTGCGTTTTCAGTTTGCGGTTTTAATCTTTCTTCACGGTGCGTTTCTTTAAAAATCTTTAACATTTTATGCTTCAGTTTTTTACAGTTTAATATTATTTTATCGTAGATAAGAGTATAAAGATAAGATTTTTTATATCTACATACATATTTAAATACAAATTATCAATATAGTCAACATGATAATTTTCAAGATTTGTCGAAGACAATTTATGAAGAATTAACAGATATTGCGATTACCAGTATACTACAATCAATATTCCAGAAAAAATAAGCGACTACTTGATAAAAGTATACATGGTAATTCAGGATAAACATTTGTCTTTAAAGTATCATATTCCTGATTTAATTTTAAGACGATTTTTCCTTTGCCAAAATTTTGTCTGAAATTTTGTTTTCAAATTATAATAAGAAATAATTAGCGTATCACGAGTCGCGTAGAGGAGACAGACAAGAATGGCGCTCACGGTTAGACTTTACGCGCCGGGCGAACACTGACCGGACGCATTTATACGTTTATAAAAATATGTTTCTTCTTACTTTTCCCCTCTATCACACTATCTCTTTGTCTTTCACATACTTTAAATATGATAATTTTATTAAATTATAAATTAGAATAATGAAATTAAAATGAATATTGAAACCTTTGAGTATCGGATTGTTTTTTAATTATAGTACATTGATAAAATTGTTAGAGAAATGTCGTAAGAGAGAAATTAGACAATATATATGTGCAATAAGCATTATAAAATTATTATTGACATAGAAATCAATCAATTATTTTAGTACGTCGAATTCTAAGAGCGTTTTTTACAATTCGATGTACTAAAATATTTATTAAACTTAAGTGTATGTCAATAAACGTTATAATATTTGTAGCACGCAATTATTGTCTAATTTCTTTAACTTTTAAAAATTTCTCTAACAATTTTATCTGCGCTATCGCGCTTGTAACATTTATTACATACTTATAAGAAGTCTTATGAGAAACGCGACCGCGCTTCTTAGCATTCAAAGAGTTATGAATGTTTAAAACAAAAACGTAAGTCAAACACACTTTAAAAACTTATAATTATCTCAATTATAAAATTGTTATTATCTTGTAGATGTGACGATATCCTTAAGCAATTCTTTCTAAAATTAATAACACAAAATCAGCAATTTATGATTCTATATTCATTTAATATTAACAAATTATAACTAGTCTTGAAATAAAAAAGAACAATACAAGAAAGTCTCAAATAATAATCAGGCTTAATAGCAACTCATGTTTCGTCAAGAAATAATGATGATATCGGCACGAGCAGACACCAT